TGTCTCTAAGAGCTAATTCTAAGAAAGGAAGTCTCCAAGCTTATCAACTTTCCAAATGGAGTTGATAAAGCTGAGATTTTAAGAGAGGGAGAGAAAAAAAAAGCAAATAATGCCTTTAAATCAATCCAATGCCATGAATTTAAAAGTCTCCATGGTATACAGAAGATATGACTTTTGAGAGGGTTCAAGTAAAACCTTCAAAACTGAAAGTCCCCACTTCACTTTGTATTCCAAGGTATGTTCTCTAGGGAGGGAGGTTGGGGATAACTGGGTGGGGGACATGGGGTCTAATCACAATTTGTGGTAATGGGTATGCTGCCAGAATGGATCTGGCCTTCACATCTTGGGCACGAGGGTGACAATCGGCTTTGAATCCCATGAATATTCATAACTAATAAAAAATTTTATGATTTTTACAAGTGAATATTAAAATAAAGTATTATTTTTTAAATTATAAAACACAATTTTAATTAATAAAGAAAATAAGTTTGAAAAATGAAATTAAAAAAAAGTGAAAGTCGGTAAAGGTCCCTTGTTACAAATGGCTAGTTTGAGATGGTAAAATTGAATCAATTAGAAGAAAAAAGGGGGCCTTGTTCAATGTATCACTGGACTGTGAAGATCCCTTTTTCTTTAATTGTTTTCATGTAGGGGCATCTTTTTTCTATCATTCACAAAATTAAAGCTTCAAAGTTCTATCCAAAAACCTGGCTGTGGAAATCCCCAAGTGCCTCCCATTAATCTAGTAACAAGGCAATGAACAGGATTTTAATTAACCCCTCTGAGAAAACACCAGGCCATGAAAGGCCAATTGCCTTCTAGCTGACACAGAACCAGCCACCCACATGGAACCCGCACTGTGAGGTTCCTTCTCTTCTTCACAGCTCTACTGGCCTGCTGTACAATCACACGATCGACTCTTTTGTTTATATAATCCCATGGAATGAGTCAGCATAAAAGGCAAATAAGAAACCATAGGAAATCTTTGCCCAAACCTTGCTTTGTATCTGAAGTTCAATTATGTTTGGTTAACCTTTTATTTATTCCTTCTCTTTCCTTCAGGTGACCTTTCTAGTCTTAGTCCTTGCCATGACATGGCCTGGCAGACAGTGGCTCAGTGAGGCCCTGGCACCATGTGACAAAGGCACTCTTATGAGCTGCCCATGAATTATTTCATTCATCAGGTGCATGCACTGGCATTCCCATTGTATGCCACCACAGCTGCCATTGGAAACGGGAAAATGTCAGCCCAACACACAGGTACTCCCTACCCTCCACATACTGAGGCCAAATGATGAATGGTGAACTCCAGTTTTTGCTTTTCCTCCTATTGTTTTTCTGTTGGACAGTCTGAACTACGATTCAGATTGCTAACTCTGGGAAAGGCAGCTCACTGAAACCGTCCCAGGATGCCTTCCCCATGTGTTCAGGTAAGCGGAGGCAAATTAGACCATGCATTTCACTTGATCATAAGTTACCTGACATGAAAGTAACACAGCCACATCACATACCAGTTTACTAACTTATCTTGCTCTAGAAAGCAGAGAAATTAATCATCATTCTGTGATAATGTACACATATTCCTGCCAACAAATACAGAAGTGCTTACAGAAAGAGGGTGGTACCTCTGAGTACTGTGCAACATTAGTCATATGTTTGATTAAAGGGAATAGCCATCGAGCTGAAAACCTCCTAAATGGTTAAACTAGGAACAAGCATGGCCTCACTTTCTTTTAAGAGTTAAGTAAGTCTTTTAAGTGCACTGTGAAGCTATGATAGGAATAAGCAAGAGACCTGTTGGGAATAAAGTGAGAAAGCAATGATATGAGGGAAGACAGGACTTGATTTTCAACAACACCAAAGTCAATCAAAGGAAAGTACCTGTGAATTTCCTTAAATGACTTGCTGGAGGGTATTGCGTTGTATAGCCACTTTTTTTTCATCAATTAGTATTGTTAAAGGGAAGCTTGACTATAGAGTTCCTAACAGCAGCAAAAATAAATTCTCTCCAATTAAGTAGTCTAATAAGCTATTTAGGATTTTACCACTTAACATTCTTTCCTTCTCATTTAATTTCAGCTTTCACTTGAATGTCATCTTGTTGAAAATCCATCACAGAAAACTATGTGGAAAAAAAGATAATGTTGCTAAGTGCCCCTGATGTTCAAAAACGAGCAGGAGCACAATATTTTTTCTACATCACCCCAGGATTTTTCCTAATAATTCAGCTTCTTCCTACTAGAAATTAATATATGAAAATGTATGAAAATGGTCAATATGCAAATTCAAATATCACACTAGCTACTTTCAGTAAGTGCTATATGCATAAATTTGAAACAATACAATATTTTAAGGTTCTTGATTATAATAATGCCTCTGTGTGCATATGTGCATGTATAATTATGTTCATTTAATTCAATCATGAAAATATTATAGGATCATTTGGTTTTCTCCTCTAAAAGTTCTCTCACTTTTCTCAATTAATTCCACTCTGCCCCTTCTATGTCAGCTGATGGTAAGTAATGGGTTTTTGAGGTAAAAGGAATAGGATCACATTTCTACAGAATTATGGACAGAAAAGAGGGATGTGGGAAGGGGATAGCCTCTTGCCTATAGTGTACAACTTAGTCATGGGGTAATGTTAGGCTTTTCAGTAGAAGCTGGTCCTTGACATACCCACATTTTATGATCATTTCTCCTTGCAAGTTTCCAGTGTCCCCAACACTAAGAATTTGCCCAGGGCCAGTCACCTGATTATAACCAAAGAGACCTGAAAATTGTCCCGTGTGACCCACACATTCCACATGCTTGACTGGAGTGGAGTTTTTAGGACTCTGTATAGTTACTGGAATCACATGGGATATCCTGGGGTAAGAGGGGATAGAGGACATTTAATTTAACCATGCACTAGAAGAACAGATAATGCCACAGTAAGTAGAACAAAATGGGCCATCATGAATGGGGGGGGGGGGATGAAGCATGACATAAAGGTGACTGCATATTATCCTTCCCCCACCAAGAAAACCTTATTTTCCTTCTCATGTAAAAAAAAAACTATGTTCCTTTCCCAAACATATTAACAGAGACCATTGAAAAGAAATAGATGGCTTTGTGCCCATCAATAGAATCTATATAGCATCTTTTCCCCCAGGGATTAATTCAGCTTTTGATTAAATCTTTCCAAGATTTAAATCATGATGTTACAAATCTCCAAGGAACTCTTCTATGAGTTGTGACCTTCTTTATTACTCTCTGCTGTTTGATGAAGTACAGAGATTTATTTATAATGGTGTATAGTGTGTTTGAAAACAAGAAATAGCAGTGAGAATTGCAAAATAGATTAATACAAAGTAAATATTGCAAAAACTAGGCTTTGTTTAAAATATTCTAAAATTAATACTGAATTATACTGGGTAGCTAGTAACACTAGTGTCAAATGAGTATAATAATGGTATTAGGGCTGTAAATTACATTCACTGATTAGTTAAATAACCCTACAAAGAAGAGAAAACTAGCAGTGCTGAAAAAGAATTTCAACTTAATATAACATTATATATAGATCAGACAGATTTAGTTTAAAGGACTTTTGAATTAAGACAAGCTTCTTTTAAATAAACTATTCATAGCAAGTGTTTGTTTATTTTTATCAACCTAATTTTGGCTTTAATAATTATTTTGCCATTAGTATCATCAAGGATGGAAGTGATTTAATGTTTTGAGGACAACATGAAATGAATCCTTTATCTTTAATTGGTATGTCTCAGTACCAAACTAGTGGGGCTACCACTGCTGTTTCTTAAAATCTCTCATTTTCTCTCTGCCTTCAAAGGCTTTATGAGGGTGAAAAGTTAACCTTTTGGGGAAGACTTGAATTATTCTAATGCCCTTGCTGGTCCCAGCCAGAATATGAAAAATGCCCTGTATAACTGAAGCATCAATGGGAGAAGACAAGTCAGGATGTCAGGTTTATCCACTGAATCTCAGGAGTGCTTAGTATCCACAGTTGTAAATGAATGCATATTTGGGTGAGATAAAGGTAAGTTTTTACTTTCTATTTTGATAAAATTATTGACAAATTTTACACTGGTATAAAATAGAAAGAGAACCATGGGGAGTGCTTCTTGTGTTATTTAGCAAACTTTAATGCACTATTGAAAGTTTTATCACATTTCCAATATTTACAAACATTCCCTTTCTCTCTAGGAGATTGGGGGTTAGAAAGAGAACCATGGGGAGTGCTTCTTGTGTTATTTAGCAAACTTTAATGCACTATTGAAGTTTTATCACATTTCCAATATTTACAAACATTCCCTTTCTCTCTAGGAGATTGGGGGGAGGGGGTAGGATATATTTAGCCACATTTCCCCAGTGCTGTGTTTATATTGGGTCTTTCAATACAATAGTTGGAAGTGGGAATGACCACCTGAATTTGGGAGGGAGAGGCGCACTAATACATTCATAAATGCATTCTGTGTCATCAGGACCGCCATCACCTACCAGGCACAATGGACACTGTGACAGCAAGATGTGTCAGCAGCTCTTAGTTCATCCCATATTTAACCTGATGACTTGCATATGATGGGGGATTGCATCCTGTTACAGGTCTTTGAAAAATATTCAGTCCATCCATAATAGAATCGCTTCCTATGCTGAATATTTAGTGGGTTTCTCCCTAGGTGCAATAGCTTGTACTTAAAAATACACTTTCCAGGGTTAGGTACAAAAATAGAGCTAATCCATTTGATAAAGTCCCATGTCACTTTTCACCTCTGAACGTTCATTATAGAAATCCCCATGTCTGCCTTTGCCGTTTGAAAGAAGACAAGGTAAAATACAGAAGGTGCACATTACCTTAGAGCTGAAATGCATACATGAATATGGAAAAGCAGGGAGAAAGGGAGAAGGAGCCAGACAGGAAATAGAATAATAATAAGCAAGTAATGTATACTGATCTGAGAAAATGCCAGTAGTATGGTTACGATAAATAAGAAAAGCAGAAGTAGATTTGAAACATTCGTTTCCCTTTATTAGCTCAGTGAGGCTGATGTGTACTGCACATTTAAAAAAAAAATCACAGGAATTTTCATACAATGGATAAAACCACAACAATACATGTAGAATTGGCAGGTGGGAAAAAAAGCCCTGTAAGGGCTCAACTAATCGCTCACTTTCCCTCTTCAGCATATTTCAACCAACAGCATTACACTTTCACCTACAAATCTTAAAGTAGCTCCATCAAATCAGCAGTTCACATTATTGAAAATGTCTGTCACATAGGTACAAATTTAGAATCATCACATTATAGTACATGGCTATTCTAGGTCATCTATAGATCAGGTCTTAGACTACGGTGATTGAAGTTCTCGTTACAGCCATCAGAAAAGGACACATAATCATTACCTACTGTAAGCTCACATCTAAAAGGCATGAAAAGGTTTCCTTTTTTCAACTGACCCAAACATTATACTCCAATAGTGCAAAGTTCCCTCTCTGCTGCTTTGAATGTTGACAGCCCAACCGTTGTTCTCAGAGTCGTTTAGCAAAATTGATTTTGTCGCACTGGAAGAATTATTCTGCTACGTCTCTTACAAAACAAAACAAAACCACATTTCTAAAGCACCAGTTCGATTACCAAAATTGTAGATGTGGTACTTACCACAGCATGAAGGCAATGGCCCACGATCATCTAAAAATCCTACAGATCTACGCTGAAATTTGCTTCCGGTAATGATGGGGTGCATGTGCTCATTTGAAATATTCTCTTCCAAAAAAAATTTAAAATAAAAATAAAAGGAACACAGCTTATATTTTGATGGGCTACCCACAGCATTTGCATAAGATACAAAGGCTCCACTAATTTTAGATGCAATTTGAAGTTCATGGAGAAAAACTATCTTCCTGGTAACAATATTTCTCAGGCTGGAGGGGACATAAATTAATCCTTGACATGAAATCTGTAGTCTTGTCTTTTGATAAGTAAGAAAACAAACAAACAAAAAAACCCAAGTGTTTCACTTATGTCAACAATCCAGGGCACAAAGGAGAATGTATTTAAAATTGGATCACAAAAAGTTAAAGGCAAAATAGAGAACACATCTGGTCCTTGAACACATAGTAGGATTTACTAAATATTGATTTTTTAAAAATAATTTATTGCTCTTAATAGTCTTTTTATTTTATTATTCTACAACAGAAGATACTCAAAATTCAGAAAGAAAGACTGTAAACTTTAGTTTGGCGTTCACACAGAGTTAAAATACCTGCATTTAACCTACAGAACAACAAGAATTAGGCGGATTAAAGATGTGTTACTGTTGTAACGCAGAACCTGTGAACAAGTTCTTTTATTTCATAGTATTTTTATTGCTTTCTATCTACTTAAAAAGAAGAAGCCAAAAAATCAAGCAAGCATCCGACAGGACAGACAGTGGATTCACTCAGAACACAATATGCTGGTGATAAATGAATGCAGCTATCAAAATTAGCTGCATTGGCCTGGGGGTGAAATCCATTTTATAAGATCATGTTGGATGGGAGAAAGGAAAAGAACAATTAAGTAGTAGGTATATCACGTCTTCCAGAAAAGTCATGTCAGCCAAACAGTAATCGAATCTCAGTTTAGAAACTGGAATACACACTCCAAACTTTACTGAATTCCATTCCGGGGACTTCACACTCAGATGAAATCCTGATGCTCAAAATGAAGGTTTTTTCTGAAGTTTTTATTGAATTTAGCAGAAGCAATGTCATCGAGAACAACATCATGGTCACGTCAGAGGCCATGCTAGTGCAAGTAGAAACACTGCTTCTGCAAAAGCTGAATTTCCCAAATGAAGCACTTACACTCCAACCTGACAAATGCCATGCATCCTAGGTAGAAAATTTCCACTGGCTTTATTATTTTCATCATCTCATAATTTATAATAAATAGGCTATTTGCAACTGATAAATATGTCTCTTTAGTAAACAAAGGAATGAAATATCAGTATTTATACAGGATGCATAACTGTAAAAAATACAGATAAATACCATCATCATACTCTGCCAAGGGAAAGAGATACTGGCTTCAAAGATAGTCTTCAGACACACATTAATTATTGTAAAAATCATACTGTAATTATTACCTCAGCATTTTGTATCAAATTAAAATCACAAAAATTAAAACAAAACAGCATCTTAAAAAGATTTTTGACCTCTAGTTTTCAAAACTACTGTTGATAGAGAAAATAAAAACATTTCTTAATGGTTACCCATTGAGAGACTTTACATAAAATCATGATATCTTCTAGAAAAATTTTAGATGAGAAAATTTCATTCCCCTAACAAATCCAGTGTATAAAACTTCAAAGAAAAACAAGCAACAAGAAAATGTGGAAAAATATCGCAGAAGTGGTTAATACCTTTAGGGGACTAGGATATTTCTTGACAAGATGCTTAGATAGAAGCTCACCTAAGCAGGGATGGATTGCGTAAAGCATCGTTTTGTTTTGTTGCACTCAACAGACACACACACTGTCTTTTTTTTTTTTTACAATCAAATATATATAAGCAGTAAGTTCAGCTTCTAAATATGTTAGTGTACAATAATCGTTTCACCTCATAATTACATTTGAATATTCTTGATTAAGAAAAATTTAGCAGTTTTGAAAAGAAGGCTGCATTTACAGTGCATAGCTGTAACAAAAAAAAGAACATCATTGTATAGTATGTACATAAAATAAAAATACTCCATTTAACATCTGTAAATACTTAACTACATCAGAGAATGTAGCAATTACACTATCTGAACACATCCCAGAGAGTTCTACCCAACTCTCATTAGTAATGTAACACCGTGTCCGCTCCTCAAAAAGAACCGCTGAACAAGCTGCACGCTTGACCATCGACAAGGCTTTTGAAATTTGCAGTGGAAGATCAACATTTTGGACACATACATGAGTGTCAAGATAAAGGACGAACTACAGAAACTTCAAAATGTTAGGAAAGTTTAGCATTCTGGTGCCCACAGTATCCTCTCCCACCCAGATTCCATGGCAAAAGGAAAAAGAAAAAAGTGTGGGGGGGGGAGAGAGAGAGGAGACAGGATACTAGTTCTATGGAACCTGTGGTTTCTTCAGGATTGTCATATAATCACTATGTTACGAGAGAGCTTGCTTCAAGTTGATTTTGCACTTTCTTAAAAAATACAGTACGAAGGAGGCCAATGCCCAGACATCAGCGGCTGTCATTTTAGGGTGGTTTGTGGTTGGTTGGTTAGTTTTCTTTCATTTTTAATTTGTGTATTTTTTTTTCCATTTGAATAGAATATGAACATTTTGAAGTTCTAGGTTCTAAGTGTGTCTTCGTGGAACTGCTGCCATTTGAAGTGATTTGCCCTTGCACATTCTGATCGGGTGCCCCCAGTCTCCACAAGTGCACACACATACTTCCCCCAAACCAGGTTCACATGCACACATACACGTGCACATGCACACACACACACACACACACACACACACACACACACACCATCACTAAGAGACTCCAGAGAAAGCAAATCCGACACCCATGAATAAACGTGTGCTTACTGGATATCATTCTGTCTCTTGCCTCTTCAGCAGCTGTGTTCATGTAAACCATGGTTGTGGTTGTTGTTCTTGTTGTACTGTTGTTCTTTTAATTTGCTTTTGTACAGAGAGTGTAAAGTAGGAGAAATTCCTAAGTATGATTTGGAATAGTCTGTTAGGGAAGGACGCGCTGTCCCGTGAGGTATTCACCATCCCTCTGTCATCCTCAGTCAGGGAACATGTTACCTGCGCAAGCTTCTCTGAGCTTCTTTCAGTAAACTATCAAAATCCAGAGAGTCATACTTGCTCTTAGTAGAAGCAGGGTCAAAGTCATCTGAGTTTGAATCTGAAAGAAACCCAAGCCAGGTTAAATACATGCTTTGCTAATAGCCATTAACTCAATCATTCCAATCAAAGATTACCTGATTCAATAGCAACTTTTCTACACAACATACTTTAAAAAACAATGCACAGACTTTATTGGAGAGTGGGAGTGGTGAGCTCTCAAAAACGCTCACCTATTGACTCATTTTAGATATAAATATTCTCGGGAGGTAGGCAGAGCAGACTGTAATATCTCTGCTTTATAGAGAACCACCCTCCCCTTGCTCCTGGCATATTAAAAGACTTGTCCATGATTCCTCAACTTAATTGCAGAGGTAAGAGTAAAGTTGGAACTTTCCTATTCAATGGTATTAATTTAATTGAGCATAAAATCCAGTTGAGTGGGAGAGAGAGAATCATCAGGAATTCCCCTAATCTCCAAACTGCTGTCCCCCTTCGAGGCAGGAGGGACATATGAACTGGCCATCTACTCCACTACCTCTGGGGTCCTCAGCAATAATGGTGCAAACTCTCCCAGATTAGAAGGTCTAGGGAAATGCTTCACATTCCAAGAGGGTACGTTCAGCATCTTTACTCATTAATAGGAGAAAAAAAATATGCAGGTATAAATAAATCCACGCTCTTTCTTGGATCCTTATCCTAGTCCATGTCAGCTTTTGTGCAAATTTCCACAAGTCACTCCAAATAACCCTTAACAAATTGATTATGTTTTAGCAATGTTGAATGTAAAGTGAAATTCTGTGAAATATTTCTGATTTTTCTCCATGGACATCTTTGAAAAAATCAGGTATTTCTGCTGGTCTTGCAAGTGAGAAAGGGTGGCTCTTGCAAATACTTTCATTCTTTTAAAAACATTTACGTGAAGGAAAAACAAATCCTTTCTGGAAAACATGAACAATTCTACTAAAATATGAGTGTTTTCCTGTTTTTCCCAGATTAAGTTACAAAATAGAAATGCTCGAAGTGACAGATGACTGTAGTACTAGATAATGTACAGGTACAATCACTGACCTCACAAGTTGTTTTCCTGAAAAGATTGCAAGGCCCCAAGCTCTCCTGACCCAGCCTGATTTCCACCACCCCAAGCTTTAATCTACTTTCACCATTTTAGATGGAAGAGACAGAAAAAAAAAAGAATTCCATTTGCAGTGTACATCAAGATAGAAGATTCTCCCAGCGACAGCACAATGTGTGACAAAAGTCATCATGAAACTGTCAAGAACATATATACTTACGTCTCCTTGGAGGGAATTTTGAGATTATTTTAAATGTCCTAACTTGTAATTATTCTAAGTAAAGCCTAGAATTTTAGTGCTTTTGAATTTTCATTAGCAAATGTTAAAAATATGTGAATGACAGTTCTCAAGAGTTTCTTCTCTGTGAAATAGAGTGGTCATATACATACCCACTTACAGGGGCATACTGTGTTACCCAGTGGGCAACCAAACAATCTTTTTTTGTTGTATGATATAGAATGTGGGTGTATGCAATTTTTGAGGCAATAGCATCTACTCCTTCACTTTCTCTCTCACTAACAGAAGGATATTGGAACACAGTAAGAGATATTAAAATTTATATAGGAATAGCCACAAAGCCCCTCTATTTTTCAAAAGAAATTGCTGTAAATAATTATACCATATTAATAGAAACAAATCACATTACACTTGGATTTCTAACATCTGGAAAACCATCAGCACAAAGTAGGTACTCAAATTAATGTTTTTGAATGAAAGTCTTACTCTCAAATACCAGCATATTTTTAAAGCCATGGTCGAAAATATTTGTGTGGGGATCTGAGAATGACTTACCAATGAATGGCAAAGGTATATATAAAGTTATGTATATATTCAATATGCTGATAATCTAATACATTTCTTTGAGTTAAAGAATTTGTTATGAATGTGTTATCTCATTTTTACTGTATGTTTGAATTCTACACCCAACTAATTCCTGATCAAAATTAGTATATTCATAATACTGAACCATTCTTCTGTTCTAATCCTATAGTCCACATTTAATTTCTTTCTTTCTTTCTTAATTTTTTATCAAGTTCTTTTAGAAAGATCCATTTGTTTATAAGACAGTGAAAAGAAAGACAGACTACACAGACACAGAGATTTATAGAAAACTGGACTTAATTCCTGGCTTCACTATGGTAACCTTGATCAAGTCACTTTAAATTCAATGTCTCATTTATAAAACTGGCTCATAAATAGTAGATGGAATAATTATTATGTTTTGTTTTAATAATATTGTAGTAACCATTACCTCATTTCAATAGTAGAGAAATAGGATGTGTGAGGTAACTAAATTTGGTGGAGTAAATAAAAACAGAAAAAAAATGGTTAAACCTATCTAAAATGATATGTCACCTCACTGTGTGTGTGCATGTGTGTGTGTGTATAACTTTTAAATCCTACTTTTCTCAATTAATATTATATAAGTTTATTTCCTCTGTATTTTGTTCTGTATCACAACATTTTTTTTCACTCTGGACACATGTAAGCTCCCAATCCCTCTAAGAGTGCAGTATATTCTTATGGTCACTGTATTTAGTGCCGACACACACCCTGAAGCATTTAACTTGAATTCTTCGGGGAACAAAGAAAAGATACATGACAATTTTGTTGAGTTTCAAAGCTGGCCCCTCATGTTGATTCTCCCATTTTAAAATAACTTTAAATTTCTCACTTCTTCTCATTACCATCATTTTAAATAATAATCATAGCTATTATTTATTGAGCAACTATGTTATGCCAGACATTGTGCTAACAGCTTCACAAACATTTATTTAGTGTTTACAGCAACATTATAAGGTATTTTTTAAATGAAAAACTAGAAGCTTAAGAGCTAAATTGTTTGCCCAAGTCAGTGGTAAGCCAGGTCTGCAAACCCAGGTCTGCAGGATTCCAAAGCCAGGGCTCTTCTGACTACGCCATGCCTATCATCAGAAAAACTATCTCTCATGCCATGGTAGAGCTTGAGGGAACTGGAAAAACCCATGCTACTACAATGCACATCAAAGGTACTCTTCAGAAAATACAGAGCGAGCTTAGCAATGCCAAAGTTTCTATTGCTGCTGGCTAGGCAAGGAGATAAAGAGAAGGGAAGCATTCTTCTTAGAAATATTTCAGGGAGGCTCTAGTTCAATTCAGAAATACCATCCAATCCTCCCAGTACCAGTGATGAATTATGCTCTACAGGCCCCTCTAGGTAGCTTATTTTAAACTCTAGATGTTTTGAGAGACTAGAAACACCTTGGCCTTCATCACTGAAGAAAATAAGTCAACTTAACTCAAGACTTCAATCTGTCTTGACTGTTTTTATCAGCCAACATTTGAACAAATGACTTGCCACGTCTTATACTCTCATCCCTAGGCCTCTATCTCTCTAACAGTCAGCTGGCTCTCCCCTGCTTCAGACTATCTATTTAGCTTGTGAAGTGAATTATAGTATATTCCCTCTGAACAATGCACATCACCTATATCAATTACTCTAAGACATCACTTCACTGGAAGGGAGAAAAAAAAATCCCTGTATTTGGTATTCATTTCTTTCTTTATACCAAACCAGAGTAAGTGCAAATAAATGTCTAATAATGCTGAGGAACAGATTTATATGTTAATTTTATGGTTTTAATTATAAATTAATTTTAAATAATTATGTCATATTCACAAGACATTTGCCACTTTTCTTCCTTCGTTCTTTCCACGAAGAATGTAAAGGCTTACAATACACACATTAGATAGGGAATGACATGCAATGGAACAGAATTAAAATTGAAATGAAGGTGTCCATTGTAGCATTATCTGTAATATCAAAAAATTAAAAATTGAACAAATGTTTATTTATAATGAAATGATTAAACATGTTACTATTCCCCCAACAAAATACTGTGCAATCATTAAAATATGTTGATAAATTATTTTAATCCCGTGAGTCACAGGAGAAAATAAATTTATATAATGTTAATTGAGAAAGTAGAATTTAAAAGTTCTCTCTCTATATATAGTTCTATTGCTGCTGTATATATGTGTGTGTGTGTATGTACATATATATGATCTCAACTATAAAAAATTAGACATTTGAAGACAAAATACTTCAAGGCAAATCACTTGGTTGGTAATAGTGCTTATCTCTGGGTTAGGTGATTTTATTTTTGTTAATGCTTTTTTATATTTTCCAATTTTATTCCTTGAGTTTGCAAAATCTTTAGAACAAGAAAAACAAATATGTATGTATGCTTCAGTTTCCTTATCTGTAAAATGGGGATGAGAATAACAATATCCACCTCCTAAGATAGTTCTAGTAATTAAATGAGAAAATCCTTGCAAAGCTCCTACACAGTAACTAGAACAGTAACTCAACAAATAACTATTTTTTTTAAAAAAGTAAGTACAGCATGATACCATATGAAATTTGATTTTATCTCTCAAGTTGTAATTCATAGAAAGTGATTATATTTCTAAGAGTCTGTGAAATAACAAGGAAAAAAAGCAAGATTTTTGCATATTTTGTTCTATAAAACAATGATGGGAATGCTATGGTTTGTACAAAAAGATTCAGGATATGCACAGAAAGCAAAAGCAGATTTCAAACATACACACACACAAAACATAAACAAAGGTAGATACACACACTATACTACACACACACATGCACACGCACAAATGGTGCAGAATTTCAGCACCTGGGCAGAGAATAAAAAGAACTTACTTTCGCCCTTTATTGCCAAAACATAAGCCCCTCACTTCCGAAACTGTTTTAAACATTTAAATAAAAAATCTGAACTCAAATATTCCCTCTAGTAAAATAAAGTGATGGTCCAACCCAAGCTACCTATGGATTACGTTTGCTACCATTTTGAGCTCTACATTATGGATTCTTCATTCCACATACAATAAAATCCATACCTAGGTCTGCATAGTTAGACTTGAAAAATTGCTTGCGTCCACAAAAGTACAGCTCGAAGTCAGTTTCATTTGACCTGCGCAAAGTGTATCCATTTTCAAGAGCAGCAAAAGCATCACAGGTATAACGGTAGGTAATGAAACCGTAGCTGTCTCTGTAATGGACAAAGAAGACAAGTTTGAAGTTGGTGAAGAAGCATTAGCATATAGGACTGTAACCCTTTCTACTTGGGGAGACTTGGCTGGTGCCAACATGTGTGGCTCTGCATCCATTTATCAGTGTGATTGTCCTGTCAAGCAGCTAAATACTTATTTCTGAGACAGGAAATCTCAACAAGAAAGATTAATAAATAGGGATGAGAGAAAATAAATAAGGTTCTGAACTCAACATGTCATCTGTCAAAGCACTTACATTGGCAACTCCCATCCTAGTAATCTTACAGCCATAATTTTTTACATACGTCAGCTTCTAAACAAGAAATAATCTTGAAGATGCTCACCCATCATCCCGCAGATTTACTGTGCACTCTTCAATTTCACCAAAAACTTCAAAACGGTCCCTCAGTTCTGTCCGTGTTGTGTCAGGTCTGATTTTACCAACATAAATCACACGGCGTTCTTCCTATGGGGGGGTGGGGGGAAGTCAGGAGAGACTTTTGCTAGTTCTAGAGATAGGAAAAGAGTTGAACCTCTAGCAACATTTGTAAACGTACAATCATGCATACTAAGAATTCACAGAGCACGCCAGTGACAGCAAAATGTGCACTACAACTGAAGGAAAGACTCTGCTTGAACTGAGTTTTAATTTCCATTTCTTCAATATCAATCTCTTCTCTATCATGTGCATTCTCCGTACCTCTCCTCTTTCCTACTTTTTCTATCCATCTCTCTTCCCACATAAACATTTATGTGTTAGAAAAGACATTTATGTGATGTGATGTTTTTATCACTAAACTGCTGAACAATACCTACTAAACATTTGAACACTTGTGACTTAATTATTAATCTTCAAAATTGGTATGAAACTGACCTGGCTTTCAAAATTATTTAATTTCTCATTAAATTCTAATAGTGAGATGTACAAATTTTTATATCCCCCAAAGAGCAGTTCTTCAACTCTGATATAAATAAAAATCACTTGGGGTGCTTGTTAAAATGCAAATTATTGGGGTTTATCCCAGTTATACTAAAAAATAATTTTTAGAAGATAAGGTTCAACAATCATTATTTTTAACAAGCACACCCCAGTGCTTCTGATGCAGATGGTCCGAAGACAATAACTTGAGAAATACTGTCTTAAAATGTAGGCCATTTAAGTCATGGGTCTCTGAAGAATAAGAGCTAAATAAAATAGGCTATAAATTTCACTTTGCCAATAAATCTAGTCTTATTTTAAGATCAGACTAGAGGGGTGTGGCCTAATTTTCACAAGTGGAGTCAATATCATAATCTGAAAGTCATCAGCAATTTATTACCTACAAAATATGGGAAGAATATTTTATAGCCTGAGGATGAATTTCTTTGTTAAAAACATGAATACAATCTTCATGTAAGAAATTATCCTACATCTCTTATTCCAAGAAGGCCAAAGGTGATGATATCTCTCAAAATTGAGAAAAGGTTTTTTAAGAACATAAGGAGTTAATATACAGAATGTGCTTCCAAGTTAGTCCGTATGTCTACAAGTATTAAAATTTAAGTTTACAGAGATTTAAGTTAGATCGAAGCAAAGGCCAGGAAACATAGGACTAAGGTACAGATTTAGCTTGTCCAAGAGTTTTCTTTGGATGTACTGTCTCCAATATAGAATGATGTAAAAATTAATTTAGGCTTAAGTCAAAGAGATGACCTACACTGTTTACTGAATGTCTTTCCTTTTCATATGCCTAATATTTAGCAAAGAATATGACAAAGAGTGGACACTCAATAAGCATTTCTGAAATGTAACCAAACAATTCACAATTCCTAGATGATCTGATCATCTATATCTGGTCTTCTTTTACCATATGTAACACTCCTGTCTCTATTGACATCAGAGAGGTAAGGTGCTCTGAGCTCCAGACTCAAATAACTATCTACTTGACAGCTCAGGTTGGCTGTTCCATAGCACTTCAAACCAGACCAAACTTACCCAAACCAAACTCTACAATTTTGCCCTCTCCTTAGGTAGTCCTTGTCCAATGTTCTTGTGAAAGTTAACACCATCTAGGCATTTATTCAGGACAAAAACTTGAGTGCCTCCCTCACTTCTACCTCTTGATCCCCTCCACACACCCAATCACTCATTAAGTCCTGCTGATTTTTACCTCCTAAATCTCTCTTTAGTTTGTCTCCTTTATTCCCTCTCCCCTAAGCCAAGCTACTGGCTTTCTTTTTGGACTAGTATAACAACAGCCTCTTAACTTGGATCCCTGTGTTCATGTTTACCCTACTCCAATTCATTCTTTCACTGCAGTCAGAATAGTCTTTGCTAAAGAAGCAGAATTCCAGACATGTCAATTACCATCTAAAATATTTAAATGGCTTCTCATAACTTTTAACAAAAGACATAAATCATTAAGAAGACCTACAGGGCCCTGCATGGTCTGGACTTATCTCCATCACAGTCTTTATCTCCTACATCCCATTTTTGCTTTGACTCTGTTTTCCAGCCACACTGAGCTCCTAACAGTCCCTTGTATATACCATGCTCCCTCCTTCCCACAGCCTTTGCAAAAGCTGTTCCCCTGCTACCTGGAACATCCTTCCCACACTGCCCCTTCCTGAATCCCTCACATGCACATACTATCTAGAATTACATTAAGTTCAACAATCACTTCCTTTCTGAGACTTAAGATGAGGTCAGAAATCCTATTAGCTGCTCTTATAGAAAACTAAATTTCTCCTTTATAGTTACATACCCAATTGTAATGAAATAATTAATAGTTTCTTCATTGTTCAATGTGTGCCTCTCCACTACAGTAAAAGCTTCATGCTGGGCCGACCCCGTGGCGCACTCGGGAGAGTGCGGCGCTGGGAGCGCAGTGGCGCTCCCGCCGCGGGTTCGGATCCTATATAGGAATGGCCGGTGTGCTCAATGGCTGAGCGCGGTGTGGGCAACACCACACCAAGGGTTGCGATCCCCTTACCGGTCACAAAAAAGGAAAAAAAAAAAAAGCTTCATGCTAATAGAGATCATATATGTCCTATCTACTACTCTATTTTAAGAGTGACTAAAATATAACCAAGTCCCAATAAATATTTGTTGTAAAAAAACAATCAATTTCCAATTAATTACTTTTTAGCATTTAGCCTATATCCTTCATTACATCAAAAATGCCTAAGTGTGTTCCTTACTCTCTGAGACTCTTCAATGCAACAGGGAATGAAAACTGGATTTGGTGATTTATCACAGAAAAACCCTTGCCCAAGTAGCTCAGCTTAGTGGATTAACAAAGGTTTCCATGATTTGTTTTTACAGGTTTAAGTATAAGAAGTGTAGAGAAGCTATATGTTTGCAGGGCTCTCACTCATAAAAATTGCCTCTGGAAATCAGAGGTGGAACTCCACTGAAACAGTTGATTAAACACAACTCCTCTGACAATAGCTATTGAACCTAAATAACTGACCAAGTAAAGTACAGCAAACACAGCAAGCTGCCTGATTCACCTCCATGCAGATTGTATGTCTCAATTGAAGGCTGTAATTGTGTTGTTCCAGAGTGCCTAGAACATCCTGGCAGTAAATAAATAGAAATGGATGGAGAGGCTCACTCTGGAGCAGTGTCGCACACTTCAGCAGGGGGATCATAACACATTCCTTTCTATTTACGCAGCTAGCTCTAGCCAAACAGCCAAATGTGATGGGACTGTTATCTAAACTTAAACTTCCTGGCGCCTGCTTGCATGGGTGTTACGGATTTTTTTTCTTTAAATGAGCCTTTTAGGAAAGTTACTACTGTAAAGAGGAAAAGGAGGGGGGGGAATGCAGAAGAGAGAAAAAGAAATTGAGCCATTGCAAAGAAATTGCTCAACTACCATTTTGGGAATACACACAGCCTATGTATTAAAGGAAATTTGAAGTTAAAGCTAAAATAGACCATATGTATGCCCAGATGCAGACATATTGGGACAGCCTCTGAATTGCAGCTTTATACAAAGTTGTATACAACAATGATCCCACAAAAAAGATAAACCAGAGGACCTTTTATAATGGATACTGATACATTCTGCAATAAAAAGAAGATACAACCTCAAGGGGAAAAACAGGAAACCAAAGGGCTACACTACAATCACTTAAATTACCTATTTGTCTATCATCTCTTTTTATGAAACACAGGAATGGGGCCATGCCTTGCTACTTCATAAAGATCATAGATGAAATACATGTTGAAGTTCTTATTTGAGAAAAGTATTGAAGTAGTTGGTTTTCCTAGTGCTAAAACTGAAAAGAAAAGGCATCCAAAGTTCTAGAAAGCAAAGACAAAAATCTTTCCAAGATTGGCCAAAGTGTCTAGCAAAGAACCAATTCTTTTTAACACATTGCAGTTGTATTAGACAGATGAATAGATTTCATATCTTTACAAAACCTTAACATTTGCAGCCAATTTTTCAAGACATTAATTTCTAAACAGGAGATGAAAGGAAAAGAAATCAAAATGCTTAATAACATTTCCAACTTCTTAAAGGCTTGAAGGAACTCTAAACCTTTGGAAAAGCCTCCTTGAAAAATGATTTTCAGACCAGTTTTCACTATTGAGGAGGATGGAACATTTATCAAATAACTTTTAGCTTCAATTTTCACAAAAGCTAGTTTGCTGATGGGTGGATAATAAAATTGAAGATTTATGTTGTATTAACAGCTACAGAAATCCTCATTATATCAAAACACAGGGGATAAATAAAAGACTGACTGAATTAACTGACTTTGCATTACCAAAATCTTTATCGAAAAGAGTATAGAGCCTCTCAATTAGGTGGGGAAAATATATTATGGTTGTTTCTCATCAAATAATAAGCTACTCCTGGTAAAAAGGGCTTGACTAAGTAAAGACAAAAAGTAGTAGGAAGGTTAATATTTATTGAACTCTAATCTATAGTAAGTACTATGTGTGATGGTTTTTTTATGGGTTATCCCTCTAAAATGTCCTGTAATGCTAGGTAACAAAAAGGAAGAGCCTGATATAATTTAGGTTTTGGTTACCTCTCCATTTCCAAGTCAGAAGAATGTAAAAATTCGTCCTCCTATGCTACAAAAACTGCATGTTCATTTTGTCGATGAAAGATTCACGTTCATTTCTAGATTTTGCTGCAACCTGACTTTCTCAAAAATTCGAAGGATATTATAAACACCATGGATGAGTGAATGGTGTACCTAGGTACTCATACTAAAAGAAAACACAAGAGGGGTGAATGACCATAGAAAGATATGGGAGAACAGAAATACCAAAACTCTGAAAAATGCTAAAGAAATGGGGTTTTTTTTCTTTCTTACTCTTAATATTGATTACACGCATCTAATTCAGCAAGCAATCAGTAAGTGCCTACTATTAGGTGGTGTTCTTAGGGGAGAAACAAAATTATGGCATTTAATTTTCCAAAGTTAATCCCATCCAAGCACTGCCCAGGAATATTCCTGCTTAGCGTTTAAGGCCAGATAAATGTGAATAAATTCGGGTTAGTCTACTTAAACACTAAAACATAAGTAAAAGCTAAAATGCAAGTAAATTCATTAATAAGTCAGAAAACATGAAACTACAGAGTATGCATAACTCCTTTTTAAAAGCTTTATTGAAGTATAATTGATACACACAAAAAATGCACATATTGAATATATAGATTTTGATGAATTTGGACATAAGCATACACCCATGATATCATCACGACAATCAAGGTACTAAATGTATTCATCACCTCCAAAAATTTCCTTGTGCTTTTTGTGGGTTTGTTTTGTTTTACTGTGTGTGTGTCACAACACATAACATGAGATCTATCCTCTTATCATAATTTAAAGTACACAATACCTTATTGGTAACTATAGGTACTATGGTATATGGCAGATCTCTAGGACTTAATTCCAAGGATATTATAAACACCATGGATGCACGGTGTTTATAATATCCTTGGAATTTTTGAGAAAGTCTGCTTGCAGCAGGGTGCCATAAAACTAAAGATTTCTAAATACTGAACTTAGAGTGATAATACAACATATATCCACCCACATGAAATATCTCTTTAAAAGGCTTACATAGAAAACTATTTTATTTTCTCCAAAAAAGAACAGCTCTGAGAAATTGCACAACTTTTTTTTTTTTCATTTGGAAGAAGTATATAATTATCAGTGATGATACACTGTTCCTGGCTCCTGGGCTGCTACTGACCAAAGGAGAAGAAAAATGAAATGGCAGAGTCATTGCCCAAGCACATCTGGTTTGGGGTTTTAAGCACTGAGCCATATTATAATGTCTAGATTTGCCCTTTAAATTAACATCCTATTATCATGTTTTCTGGCAGGAAACTGTACAGATTGCAAATGGAGTTGGACTTAGAACTCCACAAGAAATTAGAGCAGTGACAGTTTAGACATTAAGTACTACACTCTGGCTTGCTGAGTCCCAATATAACCTGAATTATTTGAAGCTGATGAGACTTAGAAAAGTAGAGAGCAAATTGGTTATCGAGAAAGAGTTTAGATGGGAATTGGAGGAAATTGGAAACTGAAACAATGGCAATATTCAATCACAATATATGATGCTATATTACTAATCACTAATTAGCAATGTTTTCTTAGCTTTCTGATTTGGTGCACTTGACTTGGGCTGGACTAAGACTTTTAGAGGCATAAGCAATGAAAAGTTTGTAGACCTAATCTACCTCCTTCTTATGGAACTCAAAATAAAATCAGTACACACCACAAAAGAAAGATAGAAAAGATTACTTTAATTTGTAAAAATATCAATTATTAAATTTTTTAAGATTTTTAAAATTTCCTCTTGGAGCTCTGTTTTGTTGTTCACCTAAGTACTGTATGATTACTCTGATTAAGTGATAACCCAGCACTGCACCCAACATATTCCAAAAGTAATTTGCTACTTATTCATTACTTTAAGGATGTCTCAAAAATCTAATGGAAATCACCTACCCAATCAACTTAGGTGGACTGTCCTAGCTCCCTTTAAGCTGTTTCATGAATGACTTTTCAAACTAATTTAGTCAAGTGAGCCAAAATTGGTTGCATGCATCTCCATGCTCAAGTCCATAAAAGTATGCTTTGCAAATGCATTATGGCACAAGAAAGCAGACCATTTGGAGGAGGGAAATCAGTCAGAAAATCTTCCTGTGGGTAAACTCATTAAATAGTTCCAATCTGCCTTCAAGATAGATTTCAAAACCTTTAGCATGAGTTACATGACCCTTCAATATCTGCCTTTCACCAAGTTCTGTAGATGTATTTCTTGCCTTTGTGTGTCCCAGTGTTCTGGTTAATTAAATAGTAGTTTCCCAATATACCTTACTTTTTTCCAGAGACTTAGTATGAGCTGTAGCCTCTGCCGATAACAGCAATGTCCAATAAAAATACAATGCTGCATATTTAATTTTAAATTTTTTATGAGCCACATTTGAAAAAGTAAAAAGAAACTAAAAAATTAATGTTAATAATATATTATATTTATCTCAATATATCCAAAATATTAGCTATCAACTTATAATTCATATAAAAATATTCATGAGATATTTTACACTATTACTTCGTACCAAGTCTTCAAAATCCAGTCATACAGGGCATCTTAATTCAGCCTAGCCAAATTAGCCAGATATTAGCTATCAACTTATAATTCATATAAAAATATTCATGAGATATTTTACACTATTACTTTGTACCAAGTCTTCAAAATCCAGTCATACAGGGCATCTTAATTCAGCCTAGCCAAATTAGCCAGATGGCTAATGGCTACCATATTGGACACTGCAGATGTAGAAAACCTTTTCCCTTCCTCCCTTTGGATTTAGATCAATCTCACCCTTCCCAGGGATGCTCTCCCTTATTCCAAGGTCTAGGCGCCCACTTACATACCACCACAATACTTTAGATGTACCTGGTATAATAGCATTTACCATACTGTATTGCCTATTTGTATATCTTTATCTGCTAGTGGACTTGAGGCTTCCTGGAGGTGGGGACTATGTCTTACCTAATTTTATATCCCAGGAACCTAGCAAATGTTTGTTGCAGAATGAGTTTTCACCTATGTGAAACAGAAATAGCATACAATTGTCCAATTGAGCTGTCTTACCTAATTTTATATCCCAGGAACCTAGCAAATGTTTGTTGCAGAATGAGTTTTCACTTATGTAAAACAGAAATAGCATACAATTGTCCAATTGAGTACTGGTTCAACAGTAAATCCCAAATCTTTATTAAGCACTTACTACCCATAGGTCATTGTGTTAGTAAGCATCCATCATGTCATTGGTTTTTTAAAACCTGATTTTCAAAAGTCACCCACAAAAACAAAAACTAATCTCAAAGCCAAAATTTTACAAATGTGTAGTTAATATAAAATGATTTAATATATGTCAAGTAGACATTTGCACTACTCTAAGTCCTCTTTTGGAGAAAACAGATAAAGATGGTCTTAGTCAAAGAATTAACTAAGCAACTGGTCAACATTCATGACACAAAGGGATAGCAGGGGTAGTATCTGCTTCCAGGTTGAGGCTGGTAACCCAGAAACTGTTTCCAAACCAATGACACTCTCTGATCTATTTGGAAAGGGTCACGCTAGCAAAAAGACTCCTGCCTCTCTTTGTTTATCTGGTGCTAAATTACCTTTAGAAGGCATAAAACAGCACATGTCATTTGTCTACATGCTATTGATTAAAATATGAATCTAGCTTTGGTCATAATTGTGTTGCGTGCTGCCCAGATGAGCAAATATACAATGAAACTATTAATCTCTTTTTAATGTCCTATTTTTGAGAAAAAAAAATGAAGGATTTTATATAAAATGAATTTGGAAACATTGAAATAGCTATCTTCCTGCATGCTTGTTCAACAAGATTCTCTTTTGTAATGATTAACTGTAATGTGCCATATGAAAAAGCTTTGTAAACTATAAGACACTATATAAAAGTGAGTTGTTATAATTATTGAATAGGCCATTAATTAAATATAGCAATATTAGAAAAAATTGAATTTTTAATTTTCATTAATCTTTGTGAGTGCAACTAATGATACTCTAGAAAAATCTTAAAATCACCTCTCATTTGAAAGTTGAGAAAAATGAGAGAAAGTTTAATTCACACAAGGCCTTTGATTCACTCTTAGGTAGATTCAAAGTTAAGTGGCAGCAAACACCCCAGAATTTAAGCCTCCACATTCATTTACTTCTTGCTTCTTTCTCCTTGAGTGCCTATAATTAGTAAACCTCTCATTTAACCTTTTTCTTCCAGCTGGTAACTGTTGGCCAATGCTTGACTCTGACTCTATTCATCAGCTCTTTTATACAGGTTTTTCAAAATTTTGTTGATGTTAGTGGATTTTCTTAAAGGCACCACATAAATCTAACCTGTGCAGTTAAAAATCATTTTCCTAAACGTTGCATGCAAAATATGGCAAAAGCTGATCTGCACTGAACCGACTCTTTGCAGCTAGCACAGGCAGGCAGCACCTGCAATGAACACAAGCAGTGCCAGATCTGATTGATTAGCCGTGACTCCCTGAAGTGCCATGTTGGGAAAGACTCTAAGGCTCTGTGGGGGCTCAGTGGGAAAGAGCTTCATGATCGATTAGGAATGCCTGTCATGGGCATGTACTGGATGTCGACAATTGGAGAGTCTCATTTTTCCATCCAAAGCCTAGGTTGATAAGCAGTGGTAGGGAGCTTGGGTAAAGTCTCTACCCATTAGTAAGTAACTGCTGAAAAAGAATACTGACCTTCAGAGAGCAAACACATTCAATATAACCTGGATCTTTACCCAGAAAAGTCAGCACTATCTATACGTCAAATGAAATGTAACAACCTCTAGTAAGTGGTGCTGAAATCTGTAATGAGTTATGGAAAAGAAGTTCATAAAAAAAAAACGGACTTGTCAGCTACCCAGTTAGGTGTTGACCCATCACAGGTAAGAAATGATGACTTTCTTAACCAATGTTCCTCTGCTGCCTCCTTTAGACCTAACTTGAACCCAGTCTCTTCATGGACGATCCAATGCTCATGTCTGCCAAAAAGACGAAAACTGAAACCAAACAGCAATTCCTCCTCATTTTCCACTCAGAGAAAGAAGCCACAGGAAACAGAAAGCAGAACTCATCCTGGGACCAGAGGAAACCAGTATCTGACTGAATGCATCTCTACTTTCTTCTTTTTTTCAAAACAAAAGTTAAAAACAGTAATGAACTTCAGAATGAAACTACGGATGAGAAATATACCAACTTAACATTTTGTTTTCC